CTTTCTTCTATCACTACTATCTGATCTTGCTCCAAATTTTCTTGGGATGAAACGCTTGAAATAAAATGTGCAATAAGCAAACTCATTTTTTCTTCAGTTGAGCGTAATCATTCTCGCTTCTTATTTTTGATGTTATTTAGGGCTGAAGAGCCTAATTCACATAAATGATGACGTGGCATCGCTGGGCGGGCAGCTTCCTAAAAAATGGCTAGGGCGAAGGGTTATCTTGATTAAATCTACGGCCATTTGTCCGTGACCAAGGTGAGCCTTCTAGTTGGAGGACATCAGCTGTGGTTTGACCTGGAGAGGGATGGGCTACGTCAGGTCTGCTTGCCCAGGACACGCGTCACATAAATTAATACCTCTCTGGCTTTCAATATCTAGAGGGGATTGGTCATGGGCTTAGTTGCACAGTGACCACACGACCACCTCTCGGTCATGAGACTGAGTGTTGACTATCTCCTTCATTGTGTCTCTGAATTCACTTCCGATTGTTGAGCAATTTGAGGTACATGCCTTCTTTCACATTGATTCATTCATTCATGAATCATTTAATGCCAAAATTTAATTTCTTGGGAGCATTAGAGTAATAAAATAAGATACGTTATTCTGCTTTCACAGTAGAATACGTGGTAGATGATACTCAGCTTTTGTGTATATACATGTTTGTGAGGACATAATTATCAGAGGCGGTGATATGTATATTTTATGTTGTAGTTTTGATGAAGTTATATTTTGGAATAGAGTTTAATTTCATTAAGAAATTGTCGGACATTATTTGGATTAATGTCACGAAAGAGTTCTTTCATATTGATTGTTTGGTTGGTTGATTTTGTTTAGCGGCATATCAACACCTCTATGGGTTATTTAATGTCGAAATCTAAATATTTTGAACAGAATTTTATGGCTTCAACTAATTATATACTATAAATAGGTATTGTTGGTTGGTTGATTTTGTTTAGCGACATATCAACACCTCTATGGGTTATTTAATGCCAAAATCTAAGTTTTATGGATTCAGCTAAATATATTTTGAACGCAAATATATGTCTTCCTCGACAGATATTAAGGTCATTTTACTATAAATATGTATTGTTGATTATTTTTCTGTATAAAAATATATTACTGGAATTTTACTATAGAAATGAAATTGTATACTTTTATAGAGTTTTTTTTTTTTTTTCAGTTGAAAGAGCACTATTTGCGCATAGTTGGAACCGTAACAGGGGCTACCACCCCGGGCCAGGGTTAACCTGGGAACAACAATTAAGAGATGGTTCCATGTTCCTCAAAAGCTACAATATCTCGATCAAAGGCTTTGCTGAGGGATGTTGTTTATTGTCATTCATTATATGTTCATTTTGAAGGACTTCGACACAAACACGTGTACTGACTGAATATCCATCCTGCAGCAAGGCTTTTGATCAGGAGTTTTTGGGGGAATGTGGAAACCACTCTTAATTGCTGTTGTTCCAAGATCCACCATAACACGGAGTGGTAGCACCTGTTAGGGTCCCAGCTATGGGCAAATAGTTAAATCCCAAACTTGGGTCAAAACACTATGAAATTTATAGTAAATATACCAGCAATACATTTTCATAGTAAAAAATTACCAGCAATATATTTCAGTAAATTACATTTTTCTAAAAGAAATGCTCCCAAGAAAATTAAATTTCGGCTTTAAATGATCACTAACATACACACATTAACTAAATATAACATATACAGTAATAAAGTACCTGTCTTTCCGGGTGTCATTGATTGTTGAAAGTGTCGTTAGTTTGTATGTTGGAAATATTTTTTGTTACCGTGAGCCTTTACATAAAGTTTTTTGGGATTTTTTTTCAATAATCAAAGTTGAATATTTCAAATTCGGAGAATAACAGATTTTACAAACATACAACTTCTAATTCAAAGTAATTGTTCTTCTCTCATGCCGAGTCTTAACAAATAGTTTAACCCGTTGAGTTATAATAATCCCATAAACCAAATGTACTCAGATAATAGCTTCCTATTGACACATCAGATTCGAATTTTTACTTAATATTATGACAAGAGAACCAAGCTCAGGTTTGATCTGGAGAAAAAATACCGACCGCTGAATGCAGAATCATGTGCCTTAACAGCTGCACCCGTATTTAAATCATGAGAAACAGCTGCATGATATATATATATATATATATATATATATATGTGTGTGTGTGTGTGTGTGTGTGTGTGTGTGTGTGTGTGTGTGTGTGTGTGTGTGTGTGGTATTTATTGGAAAGTGCTCAATATCAGTGATAAAGCTAACATATTTAGTTGCGTTGATGTGAGTTTGTGACCCTAGGTTACACTACCTTTGTGATCGTCAGCCAATTGTCTGACGATCACAAAGGGTCACAAACTCACATCAACGCAACTATATATATACTATATACTATATATATATATATATATATATATATATATATATATATATATAGGTAAAATGAGAACAAATTGAATATAATTTCACTGTATGTAACATTTAATTTAAAAGAGGGATCAATACAGAATAGAATTAAATATTATTTATTTTAGAATATTAAAACATTTTTAATATCCTAAAATAAATAATTACACACACACACACACACACACACACACACACATGTCTATATAATATGTATGTATATAAAATATATATATATATATGCAATTTTTTATATATATTATTTATATATTATATATGCGCGGTACTTATTGGAAAGCGCTCAATATCAGTGATAGATAAAACATATTTAGTTGGATTCATGTGAATCACATCAATCCAACTATATATATAAATATATATATATATATATTTAGTTGGATTCATGTGAATCACATCAATCCAACTATATATATATATATACATAGTTGGATTGATGTGAGTTTGTGAACCTGGGTTTCAAGCTATTTGCGATTGTCTGACGATCGCAAGTAGCGTGAAAACGCAGGATCACAAACTCACATCAATCCAACTATATATATATATATATATATATAATGGGAGATAGATAGATAGATAGATAGATAGATAGATAGATAGATAGATAGATTTTCTGTTTATATATATATATATATATATATATATATATGGGCAGTAACCTTTCTTTTAAACATCTTTCGTTAAATCTGACGGACAAGGAAAATCTTATTAATTTTTATTTAATTTTTCCAGCGTGTGTACATTTTTCCGCTTGGTGAGAGGGGGTGAGATGCAAACACTGTCCATATTGTCCATTGTCCAAAGTGTTTTCGGCCACTTCCTTGAAAATGTCTAAGGAAGTGACCAAACATTTTTATCTCCAGAATCTATCTCACAGATTTATAAGTCTAATATTCGTCCTTGCTTTGAATATTGTTGCCGCATCTGGTTTGGTGGTTCTGCTATGTATTTACAGATTCTTGCTGAAATACTAAAAAGAATCTGCAATGTTTTTGGTCCTGAACTGGCATCTCTACTCCTGTCACTTTCTCACCGCCATAACGTAGCTTAATCTATAAATACTTTCTTGGTAAGTGTTCTGATGAACTTTCCTCTATGATACATAGACTTTATGTATTTAAGCGCAGTACTAAATTGATGGCAAGGTCTCTTTATTTTACAGTTGAAATGGCTACGTGTAACCGTAGCTTCTATGCTAACAGTTTCTTCTCTCGCACTTCTCGATTGTGGAACTATCTTCCAGTTTCTTGCTTTCCAGTAATATTTGATATTCAAAAATTTAAACGCAATATCAATCCTTATATTCTGTCTTCTTAATTCCTGTTCTTTTAGCTGTTCTCAGTCGGTAATAGTGTTTTTTCTCAAATTCTCTCACACTCAGTAACCCCTTGCGTCTTAGTGGCTTTATTAAAATATGCGGACACGAGATATAACGCAGTATTTTAATTTATATATGCATTTTGAGTTTCCATAGAATAAAAAATCAGACAGTTGCAAAATGTTTTTTAATTCTTTAAACACTCGAAAATGGCATTTGCATTGTGCATTTTTCTGTTCTGCAAACACGTCTTTATTTTATATAAATTTCATCAACAACCAAGAGAATTTTAAAATCCTTCTGAAAAAACGTCAATTTTTCGCAAACAAATATACATTCAGAGAATTGTTTATGGGAAAACAGAAAATTTATAATGTATTTTATTAAAATTGAGTGTCAGTAACTCTCCAGAAAAATAATTTTTGAATTTTCTTCAATTCTTAAGATTTCGGAGTATATTTTCGGTATTTTTTTTTTTTTTTTTTTTTTTGTCTTTATAGCCTCTTCGGGGATTTACATTTATGAAAATGTAACAATTAGATTTAACCACGAGTAAAGTAAAGGGGAGGGTATAACTCACCTAAAAATATTTCAAAAAACTTTTTTAAAAAGGGGTTAAGTATAAAGTTCTTTCATTAATGAATAAACGCTTAAAATTTCAATGAAATCCGACCATTCCAGAATTTGTTTAAAGTTTTGAAAACAGTAAATATGTTTGTTTTTGTTTTTTAACGTGTCGAAAGTCTTCCTGATTTTGGACGTGCCTACTTTTGAGGTACCTTTTTTGGCTGTACCTTTTTTTGGAGGTACCTATTTTAGACGAATAAACAAACTGCAGTCGAGAAAATTATTATTTTCATTCGCTATTTTTCTTGTTCTTTTTTGACGACTTGGGGATATTTTTGATGGCTATGGAGGGCCACGATAAAGACACAATCCGAGTTGGGCAAGATACGCCTCAGCCCTACAAATCAGCTTTAGCAATAGATCCCATCAACCCAGACTCTTACTGCTACGAAGCTTCCCTCTCCACCGTCTACTTCTAGTACCAAATACCAGTATTAGGCTGTCTCTTTTTTTTCTGGCAGAGTTTCGGCCCCGGTCGACATACACGTCAGGGGAGCCTCGGGATTAGATGGGGTCTCAAAGGTGTCTATTTCAAGTTACCTTAGTGGAAGGAAAGAAGACGTAAGACCTTTGACAAGCGTTACGCGAGAAAGGCGCTCGTAGATGCAGAGCAGATGTGAATGTTGTTTCTATATCCCTTTACTTCTGTGTTTGCTACCCCGAGTTATTTTTTCTGGCTATCTATTTTGTATCTATCTTTCGATCCATCTGTCAAGTTATTCGTCTGTCTGTAAAATCGTCCATTTTTACGCCCCAACTTTCCGTCTGCTTTGTATTTCTCAACATAAGCGCCCAGTCTTTTTTTTTTATACTTTTTTCTCAACCCTTTCTCTGTCTCTATCTCTCTGTCTCCTTCTCTGCTTCTTTCTCTCCCCCTCTCTCTCTCTATCTTATTCTGTCTTTCTCACTTTCTCGATCATTATCTCTCTCTCTCTCATCTTTGCTCTCTTTTCCCACCCTCTTTCTATCGCTTTCTCTCTCTATTTCCCTCCTTCCTTCTCTCTTTTTATCTCCCTCTCTCTCTCTCTCTCTCTCTCTCATTCTCAACCTTTCTCTCTCTTCGGGTCTCTCTTTCTTTATCTCTCGCTGTTCCTCTCTCTCTCTCTCTCTCTTTCCGTTCCCCCCTTTCTCTTCTCTCTCTTTCTCGATCTTTATCACTCTCTTTCTCTCGTCATTGCTCTCTTTTCCACCCTCCTTCTATCTCTTTATTTCCATCCCTCCTTCTCTCTCTTCATGTCTCTCTCTCAGTTTCTCTCTCTCTCTCTCTCTCTCTCTCTCTCTCTCTCCGGCTCTCTATTTCTCTCGCTCTTTTTCTTTATTTTTTCTCTCGCTGTTCCTCTCTCTCTCTCTTTCGTCCTTTTCTCTTCTCTCTCTCTCTTTCTCGATCTCTATCTCTCCCGCTTCAACTCTCCCTCCTTTTCTCCCATTCTTTGCCTCACTTTCTTTCTTCCTCGAAATTTATGTCTCTTTTCCTTTTTCTCTTTCCATTTCTCTTCTCTCTCTCACTCTCTCTTTCCCTCTTTCTCAATCTTTATCTCTATCTTCCGCTCTCGCCCTAACTCTCTCTCTCTCTCTCTCTCTCTCTTTCTTTCTTTCTTTCTTTCTTTCTCTCTGACTCTCACTATTTCTACCTTGTCTGTTCATATCAGTCTTGTTGGTTTATTTGTGCATTTCTGTCTATCGAGCCGGGCCTATTTCTCTCTCTTGCCATCAAACTACCAGCCTCTCTGCCTATCATTGTGACTAATTTCCTAGACATTCGTATTAACAGCAAGAATATCTGTCAGTAATCTTGTCTCTTCTTTTTACCTGAATATTTTTAGCTTGTTTCGTTGTTTTCTGTACATAAGCCAGACATACTGTAAGATTTAACAAGATTAGCTCGTGTTGATAGATAGATAGATAGATAGATAGATAGATAGATAGATAGATAGATAGATAGATAGATAGAGATAGATAGGCTAGAATAGATAGATAGATAGATTGATAGATAGATAGATAAGGATAGGCTAGAATAGATAGATAGATAGATAGATAGATAGATAGATAGATAGATAGATAGATAGATAGATAAGGATAGGATAGAATAGAGATAGATAGATAGATAGATAGATAGATAGATAGATAGATAGATAGATAGATAGATAGATAGATAAGGATAGGCTAGAATAGATAGATAGATAGATAGATAGATAGATAGATAGATAGATAGATATGAGTTTCAATGACACAAATTGCAAAGATTCCACGCGTTTCGTCCGTTATGACTTCATTGGACTAAAGTGATATTTACGCAGACGTAACTCCACCTGCGCTCGATAAAATTTTAATTTCTAAAATTATTTTTAGCAATATATTATCTAACCAATTTCATTTAGTTTCTTTTTGTTTATATTTTTTAAATATCCTTTATTATGATAATAGCAGATCTACCATGAAAGGTGAACTGTTCTAATAACCCGGGCGTAGGTGATCTCACGATTGAATCACTTTCTATACACTTTCATCTTAGTGAATTGTTTCCTCTTTTAATTAAAGTAGCATTTTTTTTTAAATCGAAATTGTGGTCAGTGAGCAACTAATATGCCTAGAGACATATTCTTAAAAGAAATTAAAATTAAAATGTCAGCGCCCCCTCTTCTTCATGCCCATATAGCATAAATATCACATTAATGAAAATATGAAAGACGAAACAAATATTTTCCACTTTGTCATTGATTTTCCTAATATTATTCTGGTATGTAAAAAATTATATATGGGCACTTCTCCGTGGTGTAAATGATTAGCAAGCTTATCTCGCTAGATCCTCATTGGGAACTCTTCACATTCGGCATTGTGCTATATCTAAGCAACGCACCACATGGGCAGCTAGACGTTGTGTAATGGTTAACAAGCTTGTCCCGCTAGAACAGTTACGACTGAGTACTCACAAGGTGATCCATAATTTCGGCCTTGTTTCACATCTAAGCTACGCTTAGAAAATAATCTGAGCGCTTCAATGTAGTGTAATGGTTAACAAACTTGTCTCGCTAACCATTATAACTGAATAGTAATTTCGATACCCACTGGAAGCTCTACGCAATCGGCCTTATGCCACATTTAAGATACGCTTAGAAAATCACGTGCACTTTGACTTGTTGTAGTGTGTAAATTACTCTCCCGAGTAGATTGTAACACGTCTATTCATAATTTCTCAGTTACGTGTCTGTCTTTGGGCAGAGTGCGTTCAGGGGCCACTCCTTCAAAGGACAGTCGCAACTGAAGAAAATTATACCGTGAGGTACCGAGCCCTGGGGGACAGCTGTCCGAGGCCGTGCCCTCTCATTGCACCAGAGAGAGGAATCGGTGCTCGCACCAAGGCCAGCGCAACCGACGGTTGCGGCGGCTCGTGCAATTTTTGTTCTTAGCCCGGGTGTACGCGCTCGGGATCCCTACATTAAAACGACCTTGTGTCACATCCTGCTTGTTGCAGTTTTTGTGTATAATATGTAACTAGTGAGCCAATCCAAATGACTTGACTCACTTTATAGTCCACCAATAGAAGGTTAACCAATCAGAAGACGTAGAACATTCAATCCGTCGTGTATAAAGGCGGCCATTTTTGTTCACTCTACCCGAATGTCCAGTCCAGCTTGTCAGACGAAGAGATAACAGAAGGACGAACTATGCTCTGCTACCTTTTACCAAAATATCCACTGCTAACCTGAACTACGCTTCCCTACTGTCTTCGAAATATTCACTGCTAACCTCTGGATTCTATACTCGAAGACGACCGTCATCATGAATAACACTGCTGCGTGTGGGGAGGGGTTGAGTAAATACAAAAAATAGGAAGTTTGTCTCGCTAGATCAGTTATGACTGAATAGTGAGTTCGATCCTCACTGGATGCCCCATACTTTCAGTCTCGTGCCACAGCTAAGATATTTCTTGGTAAATCAATATATAAATTATATATCGTTTTCTCAAATAGATGAATAAAAATTCTTTGAAGTTGTATTCATATGTAGTAAATAAAGTGGCGTCTGTATTAGTCATGTCGCTGGGAAATGTTCAATTTTTAAAATAAACGGAGAAGTTTGAATTCCTGGAACAAGTTAAGTGTGCCACGGAGAAAATTACTTGAAAAATAATAAGCGTGACAAACGAAGTGAGCACTGTGCTGGGGCGGGGAGGTAACTGAATTGTACCGGCATGTCTACTTTGATAGCTAAGACTATTCACAGGGCAGATTCAAGGGGTTTTGTTTTTACACATACCAAATGTTCCTTCAGGGAGGCCTCGTGACTTGAGTGCCTATTGGGACTTAAACCCAGACCTCAATTGGAACTCGTACATACGATCCAGCGTTAAAGATGCTAGGAAAAATAGTCGATTCTCTGTACCACTCCAGTAAGTACCTGACCCCCTCCTGTTATCCTCTACCTTTACAAGATCCAGATCAGACCGAAAATGAAGCATTGCTGCCATATATGAACAGGAACTACCCAGTCTTCACTTTCCACTTTCGATAACGTCCAAAATGATCTCCGCGTCCTTGTGGGTGATGAATTATTTTCCACTCTCTAACCCTTTTCTCATAGACGAAACATCGCAAGCCTCTCGCTATTTCCATGAAAGTGTTTAGATTAACTATATTCCTTAATTCCATCAGTCCTGTCACAGCTAAGACCCACCATGTCACGCACATTATAGCGAACCTTCCCCCATTTCTTTCGTATTCCATTTGTGAGATGTAAGTTCTACTCGAGCAACTTCTTCCCACGAACCATTGCTTTATGGAACTGACTCCCAAGATGTTGCTTTCTCGATCACTCCAATCTTAACCTGTTCAAGTCTAAGGTTGATCGTTATCTTCCCCACCTATCGGCATAAGCGGTGCCTTTTACTGTGCAATACTCTACCTAGAGTGGCTCTTGCGCCTTGTACATCATTGTAGAAAAATGAATCTAAAGAAATCGCTTGAAAATTAATTGCTCACTTTATGAAAGTGTTTTATATAATTAGATAATTGCTTTATGAAAGTCATTCTAAACCAGTTTAGTCTAACAAAAAAGTCAAGGTTATAATGTCATCATTTAATAACTCATTGGTTTAAAATATATCCAGTATTTTCAATGGATTTTAAAGTAGTTTTTCGCGTTTAATGAAACATTATATATTGCTGCCACGTTTGTTCTGGGCCTTCTGTAATTTACAGATTCTTGACAGAATCCAAAGAAGAATCTGTAACGTTATCGGTCCTGTCCTGGCATCTCGGCTTCAGCCACTTTACTACCGCCGTAATATAGCTTCTCCGTGCTTTTTCTATAAATACTTTTATGGTAATTGTTCTGATTAACATTCTTCGACTTTAAGAATGTAAGCGCAGTACTAGTTTGGCTGCTCGGTCTCATCAGTTTACTGTTGAAACCGCTAGACGTAACCGTAAGTTCTATGCTAAGAATTTCTTCTCTCGCAGTTCTCCCCTGTGGAATTCTCTTGTGGCTTCCTGCTTTACAATCAACTTTTGAACTTCAAAAAAATAAATGCAATGTCAATCGTAATCTTCCGTCTCTTTGAATCTCCTTTTTTTATCGTCCTCTCTCCTTAATAATGTTTTCCTTTTTTCTTAGATTATTTCAGACACAGAAACCCCCTTTTGTCTTAGTGACTTTAACGCCTTGCTTAGAGCGAAATGGTTAAAACAAAATTGAATATACGTTAAAAATAGCTATAGAGGTAATCTCATTGTTTTTAACAATTTAGTCTCACAAACGATTATTTCAAGTCTTAGACAGTTATGCCTCTCCACAGATTTCTTTTTTATTATCTGTGATTGCCTTTACTTCATGGGGAAGTTAGTCGAGTGATTTCCCGTTGCTGCCTTGTTTTCTTTTTCTTAGACTGGTTGCCATTCAAGGCTAGAGAGTCAAGTCTACCCTGCTATTTAGGAAGATTGCATTTGTTTTCCATAGAGCATTTATATGTAAGTAAACGCAACAGACTAAATTTGAACTCGGCACAATAATTTTACTTGTCGTAGTGATATTTATTTCACTACCTACGAATATTACCTACGAATATTACCTACGAATATTACCTACTATGTTACCATACTGGCTGGTCAACACTAACGATTTTTTGTTGATTCATTTATTTATTTATTTTTGTTTACAAGAAAAATATCAAACACTATTTAATAAATTGTTTATTTACACTATTTACTTATTATATTGTTTATTGTAATCGTTGGCAAATATGGCTAAAATACCAATCCATTCGAACTTTATAAAATGGTAAATAAAAGGTGGTCAGTCAATAAATGATAAATAAATAGTGTTTAATATTTTTATTGTAAATTCTCAAGAAAAAAAAAACTGTATAAATTCACTTTCACAATTCAATCATATTTTTAGGTTTTGTTAGAATTCTAATCATCATTTTTATTTTTAAATAATAAACATTGCCGAGGAGTTAAGATAGGTAAAATAATAGCGATGTCAAGAGAAAAACCGTCATTTTGACGCTCCAGTTTTTTTTTTTTTTTTTGGCGGGCAAGAAGAAGTATGTTTGCCAAACTTTCTTATTTCTTTATTCAACTGATTAATGATATTATTAATAATCGAGGAAACCCAAAAGCTAAGTTCATATATTAAAGTTTTATAAGCAAAACAAGTGCAAAGGATTTGATAATTCTTGATTGCAGCTGACATGCAAGTCGCATGATAAAGTTTACCGGAGAAAAGAGAAGTTGTTTCCATGA